TGTTGGGGGTTCAAATGTGACAGAAAACATAATAGACAAGAGGCCACTACTATTTGTGATGTGTATGTGTGTCGTTTTTTTTTTATCGTACAGAAAGGAAGACAGCTGATTTTGGACTCTGGTCATATATGTATGTACATATTGATTTTGAAGTTGAGAAAGTTACACTGATCTGATTGAAGTGTGTTGTTTGAGGCACATGAAACAAGTTGTTTTTTTTCTGTGCAGTTATTTGTTGCTGGTGTTGTTTGTTTTTTTAAAGAGATTATTCCTGATGAGGCTGAAGATCATCTCAGATTGAAATGTGAAATGTATCCTTGCACCTAATTATTCCTTTCCGTAAGCACCCACGTATGAAGACAGGAGTGAACCCTTAATGTCTGATACTCTCTCGGATTTCTTTCAAAACCTTTTCTTCTTGACTTGCGACTTTGGGTTGTGGGAGGTTAATAATAGTAAAAGTTATTCTATAGAGCTGAGATTTTTGTTTATATCATAGTAGGCCTATATGTACTCATAATTTGTGTTGTGGGGAAATTATTTTTTTTTCTTTAGTGAAAGTGACTTGCGTTGAACAGGTAAGATGTAAGTAGTGTAAGCCATATCTGTAAACAGTTGGGGGAGAAAAGGAAAAAAAGCATTGAATGCGTATAGAGAGAAGAATGCTATGTTCTAGAGAGACTTGTTCTAGTTACTGATTGTAATAAATGACTTTTTCAAACCCATCTCTTGCGTTGAGGTATATCATATCGTGTTTTCCTATTCCATAGTACCTTTTGTGTGTGCACGTCTCACTGGTTTTTATTTCAGATTTAGATTACTGTAAGTGTAAGTAGTCTTTATGAGCACACACCCTCTCACACACCGTCTCACTGATACTTTCCGTTGCTTTTACCGTATGTTTTCTGTCTGTATCACTGGCTGGGTGATCTGATAATGAGCACATTGGTTGGACAGGGATAAACTCACCAACAACAGCAACCCCCCCCCTGCGTTTATGCACTTGCTTTAGAAAAGATCTAGTGGAAATATTAATGTGATGAGTCTAGCCGCCTTTACTGTAGGCCTACACCTCAAATGTAATAGATGAATAAGAATTCAATTATTTTCGTAACAGACAGAGCAGGCTTGTCCTGTTTCTGCCTCTACTAAGGGTAGCAGTTTGTCAAAAAGTAGGGTATGGTATTGAAACTTGTGTAATGTAAAACAATGAGAATGGTTCTTCAAGGTAAAGTTATTGCTTCATGTTTCAAATTTTCGTTTTATAGGAGTACTTCAAATAATTGTAATAGTAACATTTTCCAAGACAGGATTTAAAAACAAGTTAGAAAGGCAGTATATTGACTGGTGAAAAGATTTGTTTTGAAAAATCTGCTTAAATAGTAAGAACTGGGTTAATTTCTCAAACATTTATGGACAGAAATAGCTAAGACTGATCTGAACACCAGGTTTACCAAAAGAACATTCATTTTATACTGTGAGATGCATCTTCGGCAGAACTGGTTGCTAATTTCTATTTTTTCCTATTTTCTTGCGTCTTTCCTGTTTCATCGTGCAATTCTTTTTTTAATGTGCTTATTAACTTTGTTTAAGTCAAAACATTTTGCAAGCTGTTTTTGTATTTTTATGTTCTTGGTTTGTTTGTTTGTTTTGTTGGGGTTTGTTTTTTTTTCATCCATGTCTAACTCATATCTCACCCTGGGATCTTTGCCTTTAACTCCATGACCTACCTTTGTTGTTGTGACTAAACGTCAATGGCCAATGGGAGTGAAATAACAATGTGTACAGCCTTGTAAAACTACACCCCTCCAAATGTAACCCTATGACAAAGTCAGCCAGCATTTTTGAGTGCTTTATTTAAATAATGTTTTAAAAATGCTGTGCATCTTTTCACAGTTTCACCGTGTGAAACTCAAATGCAATTAATCAAAATGTGTTAGTCTTTCCAGTCATCATTAGGTCAAATTCAGAACATAAAGAGCTCTTTCATTTATTCTTTTTTTTGTTTTTGTTTTTGTTTGGTTTGTTTTGTTTTACTTGGGGGGGGGGGAGTAAAAATTATTATTATGTCGACCTAACTGTAAATTAAGTCTGAGCGTTGACCGTAACATGGGTACATGTATCATGTGTCGGAGCGCACTTGTTTTACGCCAGCCTGTACATTTCTTTCTTTCTTTTTTTTTTTTTTTTTTTTTTTTTGCTCAGTGTTTTGCGGGTTTTTAAACGGTTTTTTGTTTGTTTAGTTAGCAATGGGTTTTTTTCGCATTTACTTATGGTGTGTGTGTGTGTGAGAGAGATATAGATTGAGAGAGAGAGAGAGAGAGAGAGAGAGCTTCATATCGCATACGGGAAAGTGGATAACGTGTCGTCGTAATTTGACAGGTTAAACATCATGTAGCGGAGAGAGATGAGCAACCTCCAGTTGTAGCGCTCTCGCTCTTCAACTGTTTGTCTGTGTGACCACATGTACAGTCTATTAGCCCCATCTATTTCCTGACGCAATATGGCCATCATTTAAACAAAACAAAAAACAAAAAACCCGGCTTAGTTAAGTGGGACATAGTTCTCTGTTGTCGTAGTAGATAAATCCAGAGCGACCAAAGTTGGGTGGTTGGAGGAAGCCACTGGTATGTCCTACTTCTTTACTTCCCCTCTGTTGCTCCTGCCAGTCTGGCTTGATTGTTTTGTTTTTTTTGTAAAACGACCACAGTACATGTATTAATATATATATATGGAACAGTGAACGTGATTTGAAGCCGCGGTGTGTAGGCTACTTAATGTTCCTTATCAGTTCGAGTGTTTGCGGGGAAGTGCTTTAGTTTTAGTTTTAGGCCGTGTTTCGAGATTAGGGGAAACTTCAAAGTCCAAAGACCGAAGCTCACAGCGTTACAATAATGTTCTTGCTGCTTTTGTTCTGGTTAGCGCTCTGTATCCCCCCTCCCTATTTTTAACTAGGCTATCTAAGTATTCTAAGACACACATGCACACATGCTCTAGTAAAAGGATACACTCTACAGTTGATTGAGACGTAAACACACTTATATGCAAAAGTGAGATTGAGAGTATACAGAAACGCACGGACATAAAAAGCGCACTTGTTCTTCGTAATCCGATTCCTTGTGAAGAAACTTAAAACGCCTAACAGTACAGTAACAGATTAGCAAAAGATGTGAACAAATATATATATATACTTGGCACAGAAACTATAGATCCTCATTTTTGAAGGTTAATTTTTTTTTCCTCCGAAAATACAATGTACCATATTTTTGGCAACACAATTCCCACTCTCTCTCTCTCCCTCTCTCTCTCTCTC